TTCAAAATTTTGGTTTAGCTTAGAAAACATGATATTTTCAACTTTGGCCGAAAAACGATGCCACAACGGAGTTTTGGTAAGACAAGCCCTCCCCTGGCTTGATAACCCCGCAGCCCGAGGTGCCTGGCAGGTTCACTGGAGCCCACGGCTCACAGCTCCCTCAAACCCTGTACTATTTCACCCAGCACAAGGTGTATGGGGGCCAAACACTTGCTCCGGGGGATTGGTAGCGGCTTAGGGGCTGTCCGGCATATTGTGCACACAAAAGTGTATGGTGGCAGTGCGACAAAGGTGTATAGCCCAGACTGCGACTTAAGTCGCACTGGTTTCTGTAGCCTACACCGTTGTCGCACTCTCCCGGTACGCCTTTGAAATTAAAGTGATCGACTCGATCATCCAGGTCTGCTTCGAGGTTGTTCGTCTACATTCACATTGCAACCATGTGGATTCGATATGGCTGTTCCCATGGGGGAACTGTGCCGCCAACTGGCTTACACATACTGACGTGCTCCACACAACTGAGTATTAGATTGCGAGGCAGGCCTGAACAGTTTAATTAAACGCTTATACGTGTTACCGAAGTCTGGCCCTGGCACTTTAATGTATTCTAAAGTACCGTTTAACACGTTTATGCTTAAGTTCAAATTTCTAGTCCAACATCTACAAGTGTACCAGTTGCACACTTTTGTTTCCATTGTTTAACAAGGATGTAAACTCTGCGTACTTTGTTGAAAGAGTTACAGGTATTTTTGACTTTTCAACAGTCCAAACACTACGCTACTATTGTCAAGTGTACGTGTACAGTAAAGAGATCAGACATGTTAACTTTAATAACCTTGTTTTCAAGGCCTCGAGAATTGTCAAACGCCGAATGTCCACTGAAGATGACGACTGTCCAGCGCACACTGAGCCGCGTCTTATCTCAGGTAAATGACGAGCGAGGACGAGTGTGTGGGTTTGGGAACTCCCCCCTTCTTTCCTCATTTATTGGCGTAACTGCAACTTGTACTGCTTTACTCGTTACGTTTTTTTGCAGTAATAAAGACCGGGAGAAATGTCGGTTTTGATTTCGTGTAGTCCTCTCAACCCCGGATACACCCACCATGCTAATAGCACATTGATTAAATGTTCACAGACTACGTCGCGCTACCGCTCGACCTCGGCGGCAGTCACAACGCCCTCAAATGAACCAACAAGCCAGGCTGCAAGCTGGGACAGCGGCAAGCCCTACGTTGAGATCCCCGGACCGAAGCCTCTGCCTGTTATTGGAAATGTGTGGCGCTTCGTGCCCGGAATTGGTAACTGATGATAGACGTATTTAATGACTTCACACAGTAAAATCAGAGGGATAATTTTGTGCATGAATTAAACAGAAATCCGAGCATCAACAGCATGTGGACCATTTTTTTTGTGATCTGATGTATACCACTGCATTGCGTACGAAGTAAAATCGTGCATAGTTTTGCAGGCACGGATTCATTCTTAGCATTGCAGGTGTTTTGCACACAAACTTAATTTGTGCATTAATAATGAATATGCACCAAAACGTACGTTAAAAACTACGTTTCGCTTGCGCACAATAAAAGTTCTACTCAATTATGCAATTTCACCAAAATTCTAAGTATTCGGTGAGCAAAATGTTGGAAAAAGTACTTTCACACCATTTACGCGAAAGACAATTGCCACATTTCTTTTCATTTTTCACATTTCTTTTCGGGCTGGGAGCGAAATACTCGAGCATTGTGTTCTTTGTTAGGTTGTTACCCGGGCGCGGCTCAAATGCGACAGGTGGTGTTGAACCATGACGCCCCCCCCCCCCTTCTTCCCTGCGCCGCGATGTGTGGTACAAACAACCCTATCGGGTTCGCTGAAAATTATGAACCAGACCAGCTACCGGGTTCGCGCGCACACGTCGTGTGGAGTTTCTACCCGCTGGCGAAATTCCGTGGATCGTTTATCCTTTAACACGTTGAGTGCGCCGTGACTCTCACCGCGGGTCCCAATAACATAGGATTGCCTACCCCCGCCGCACTCAACGTGTTAAAATGAGCGTCTCGATCAGACATAACATGCATTCTGGGCTTTAACTCGCGATGTCTCAAGATTAAAAATGCGCAATTTCTGTTCTTTTGCTCAGTGAGATACCTGCCTTGTTTTTCCCCAAATGACATTTTATGTAAATGTTATGTATACTTATCAGGAAAATGTTCTGCTTCGTATTTTTCTAGGAGATTTAGCTAACCTTCAGTTCGACCAGTTGTTTACGGTTCTACTGAAGAAGTATGGCCCTATCTGCAAGTTAGGTGGAATGCCAGGCCGACCTGATATGTTGCTGGTGAATGATGCCGATGCTGCTCAAATAGTTCGTATTAAAATGCAATTAAAGATCGAGGCTGCCTATACCGGTCGTCAAAAAACCAATTGTTGGATTTTTTTTCTTTCCCAGATTTACCGTAGTGAAGGAACCTGGCCAACTCGAAGAGGAGCTTACGTCTTGGATCACTACTTCAGAGATGTCAGGAAAAACCTGCTTGTTAGTCTGGCAACAGCGTAAGAACTCGTTCTGGTTATCGGGAATGTCGTTTCCATTTTCCTATCCAAATTTTGGAATCACTCTCTTCGTGGAATAAGTGTTAAAGAAACATTCCA